TCCTTCTGCATTGCTTTTGCGCAGCAGAAACGACCTGTTTTTGGGCCGAATTGTCACCTGTGATGAAAAATGGGTCATGTATGATAACAGGAGACGTTCCGGACAGTGGTTGGATTTGGATGGAACCACCGGTAATTTTCAAAGCCGAACCCTCACGAAAAAAATTCTGGTCGCCGGCTTTGGTGTCAGATGCTGATTGATCTATCTGTGACTTTTTAATGTCGCCAGGCCAAACCATCACAGCAGAACCCTACTGTGAACAAACCGACCAAATGTACCGAAAATATTGTCAGCTGCAGCCAACACTTATCAAAAGAAAGGGTCCGATTCTTTTGCATGACAACGCCCGCCCACACGTTTCACAAATCACTATCCATAAAAATTGAACGAAACTGGGGGTTGAGTCCTACCCCTTCGACCCACTATTCTTCAGACCTTTCGCCAATCGACTATCACATTTTCTAACTTTTTCAGAACTCCCTTGCTGGAAAATACTTCATCAATCAGGACCAGGCAAAAAAGCTTAGTGGATCTTCGTCCCTTTTGACCACCCAGTTTTTTACTTTGATGGGATTTCTCGACTGCTATCACATTGGCAAAAGTGTGCTGATTCGAATGGTGCCTATTTCGATTAAATCCGATCGAAGCATTACGAAGAAGTTCGATGCGTTCATTAGTGACAAAACGCCAAGACGCACTGAGCATTTCGCGGGCAACCTCAATACTTGAACTACCTCTTGATGCTCAAAACACTTTGAAGAGGCATTGCAGTAAATGAGCATCCGAAGTTACAAGAAGAAGAGTAGAAGGCGAAGTTTGCATACTAAAGTCGGGTCGCCCTCCTTCTGTGACATAGCCCAGCTTCGGCCGGCGCTGGTGCGCTGCTCTTCTATGGGTTCTAATGGGAAATTTCTCTTACTGCAGAGGGCATAACAAGCATTTCAACTGAAGAGGGCCAACAGTAAGCTCAGAGTATGCTCAGCTCCAACCGAGGAGCGTGCATCACGTTTTACCGTAGCCTCCGCTATTGATGAGCGGTCTAATAAAGGTTTTGTCTTGGTCTTACACATCAAGAACCTTACCGAGCAGCGAATTCCGCATGTCGGAGCATCAACTGCCTAGCGCTCATTGGTTGATTGACGAGCATTTCGGCGAGGGCCCTGGCATTCATTGAGTAACTGTAATAAAAGCTGTAGTAAAGACATTCACTTTTGGAACTAAGTGATTGGGGAAGATCGCTTCAGAATTTGTGTGAATAGAAGGAAAGTCAGCACCTTTCGTCACGAATAACGCTTTCAATGGCCGACAGTAAGCGTGCTGGCTTGCCCAAGTCGTACTTTTGTAGCACTACAGCACCACCATGTTTTGCTAGCATGTTCGCGTTACGAATTTGATCGGCGAACAAAGGGACCTGAAAAATCAAGGATATAATGGATTCGAGAATGAATGTTTGTGAAGAGAGAAGTACGTTGGGGTGCCGTTGGTATATTGCTCGATAGGGACCATATAGTGACAACTGGAATCCCTTTCAAAGGGCAACTGGACTCCGTTTCCCTACTCATGGCTCAGATATTCATCCAGATCCCATCCTGTCTCGCCAAGGTCTTTCTTTTTCTGGGACGGCTTAATAATTACTAGACTACATGGTGAGTATGAAGGCCTGTATCCCTCGGCTGGCTCCGAGTCATGGTGCAGGTCAAAGCACGCGTCTAAAGTTTACTTTTTACCACTGAAGTCAGTCAAGACATTTCAGCTTTCTTTGGGTTTTGGCGCAGCGCAAGACCCTACTCCATCATCAGAATGGACGAAACAGCACTATGGAAAGTGGGCTGGCGCCGCGCCAAACCCATGCCCCGCTGGCACACCTCGTTTGACTTCTGCGATAAAGAATTTGCGATTGGATGTGCCGTAATGCGGAAACTTCGACGCTGAGCTATTTTTCAGAAGAACGTTAGCTGAACTCCTCACCATCACAGCTGGTTTGCCCATATAAGCGATTTCCGTGGTACTGCCGAGACCGCCATGTGTAACAAAGGCAGTAATGCGAGGATCTGCTGCAATACCGTCAACTTCATATTCATAATTCATTTAAAAATGCCAAGGCTGTATTTGAAAACAGACCTAGTAGAGCGTTCTGCGGTAGCCAAGCACTCAAATAAACGTTAGAGACGTTCCTTATCATATTGGAGTCCTCAATCTCATATTTCCAGATGAATGTCGTATCTGGCATTGCCTCGAATACTTTCAATAGGGATTTCCTGAAAATGTGCTTCACTCTTCCATGAATCATTATGACAGGTCGGCTTGAGAAAAGGTTGCTGAAAGGTCTCAAGAGGTATGGATTGAAGCCATATGTCACATTCGTGAAGACGTATTACGAGTTTCATTGCGGAAGACTCTCAAAATTTGGATAGGACTTCACATTTCTTTGCAAATTTATTCCTTTCTTCGAGTATTTCGGTGCTTACCACCTTCCCTCGGCGTTCTGTTCCCTGTCTCCACCGATATGGCGGTTGTACGGGTGTGTTGAAGTATTTATCTTTTAATTTTATTGACATATGCACGAGGGGGCGTCATGTGGCTTGGGCAAAGAAAGCAGACTCAATCAGCGGTATGGCACAATGAGGAAAGAAAGAAAAATTAAAAAATGCGAACAATAACAAATCACAAGAACCAGAAATAAGCTAAAAATCAAGAACAAAAATTGAGAAAATTCAGAAAATATAGCCTGTGTTTTAAGCCATGTCGAAAGACCATATCGAAAGAATCAGCGGGACCTTCTTGTGTGCACTGGATGGCTGTTTTCCCCGCAAATGAAGAAAGTCCTCACGTGAAATCCTGGTCATTTGAACGCAAGGATTTGAGACGACGGTACTGGAGTTTGCTGACAACTTAATCCGTTACGAACGAATTTTTCCGGACGTCACGTACGCGACGGCTCGGGGCCCGCCCCCGACAAGCTTCATTGCATTGTATGCGTAGATAACGGTGGCGCATAAAGCGTAGAAAGCAATGAAAAGGGAAGACGCCGAGTTTCCTCAAGTAAAACGCGAAGAGCGCCACATTTCCTGCAAATATCCTAGAAATTGCTGCTTCATCAGCAGGTCAAAATACTCAGCGCGATAGACAGAGCGAAGAACATGCGTCTCAGCTTGCCGAAATATCCACGCTCGAAGAAGATATCACTAATCAGCAAAAAAGATCAGAAAAAACGGGAGTGTTCTCAAAACAACATCAGACGATGCAGAGGCATAACAGAGATGCTTCTCTAGATCAAAGCAGTAATGAAAACAAACAAGAATCTTACACATGCGCATCTATTCAGCCTCCGAGAATTACAATTCCTCAGTTTTCGGGAAACCTGGAGGATTTTCAGGAATACTGGGCTGTCTTCGAAGTTATGGTTCACCTCAATGCCAATCTAAATGAAACAGAAAAAATGATTCTCTTGAAAGAGAGTCTAGTGGGTAAAGCAGCCACCACAATAAAGGGTATACGAAATTTTTGATTGCGTAGGATGGGTTCCAAAAATCACACTGGATGTAGACCTAAAGCTGTATAATGAGCAGAAGCGTGGAATCATTGAACTAACCCCATACTTTACAAAGTCGTTCGCTAATTTCAACTTTACAGTCATTTCATTACAAACGATCTCGAGAAGGGTTACACCAAAAATTCGTCCAACTGATAACGAAACCTTAACCGTTCCACCTGATTTCATCTTCCCAGTGAACTGCAAAACTCAGGCTCAGGCACACTCTAACTTTTGTCATGCTCCAACAGCCATTATTGTGACTGCGATGTCAGCGGGGTGAAACCTAACTGTCGCTGCTCATATGGCTCCATAGCGGAACTTCGTAGCAATGCAGCCCGCAAGCTACCCGTGTCATCACCGCGGATAACTATATTCGCCGTCGATAGGGAGGTATTTGCAGAATCTACGGCTGACGAAACAACAGTTGTTATCTCATCGACAAAAGAATTGAAACCGCACGTTTACGAGTTGACGTCCCCTGCATGATATATGCCCAAAAGCTACAAGGATGCTACAGTTGCTACCACGGTAGTTCCGTGGACGTATCATGTATTGCCGCGACTCATTCCTGGACAACTGTCAAGTGTGCTACTGCCATTTTTCCAGTTGAATGCACACCCCAGAATAAGACCACCAGTGTCAGGTTAACCTTTGAAAAAGCGGTAATAAATACAGAATGCTATACAGTATGCGGTGGTAGGAATGTTACCATGAAGTTGGAAGGGATCCTCAAGTAAATCGCAGGCACGGGGGAATCTTTCTCAATGGCACACTGAGGAAGGTCCCACAATTCGACTGGTTCGAAAGCGTGCATTTACCAGACTTTCTTCCGTTACTATTAGTTTTCTTCGAGCACTGGAAATGCACATTAGCTGCTCTCATAACCTTACTAATTTTGATTTGTCTCACCTATTTGTTTGGTTCAGCAGTACTTCTGAGAGTAGTCAAAGCGATGAAGCGGTACTAGCGGTTACTGTGAGATGTGTACGTGGCATTCAATCGTGGAGAGAGCTAGCTAGATAAACAAGGAAGCAATCAGTGCAACAAATCAGAATTTCTTCGCTGTAGCTTTAAACTAGATGTACTTAAACTCCATCATTTATTCATCTCACTGTGAGATGGCAGACGACCTTGATCGCGAGATCCAGTTGATGGACTTTGAGCGCCAGGCTTCGCTTGATGCTATTCGCGACACCTTGCAAAGCATTACTAATCGGCTGGACACCCTATACACTATGGTTGCTGAGATGAAAGAAGCGATCCACACTCTCGTCGACCGTTCTGCGCCCAAATCCGCATGTGTTTTCTGTTCGGTTAACGAGAATGTGGATGGTCACCTAACGTCACGTTGCCACCGGTATCCAGATTCTGTAAGCCGGGCTATGAGGGTGGCAGAGCTGCATTTGTGCGGCCGATGTCTTCGCCCCGACCATGGCGCGGCTCTCTGCACAGTAACGTGCAAAAATTGCCGTGGGAGCCACAACACGGTGTTGTGTTCCGGTCCACCCGCGAAGAAGCGCAAATTCTGACTGCTGCTAAGTGGTCTGAATTCGCGTTTCCTCGCATTTCGCCGATCGACTCTTATTCTTTGTATTCAGCTGCTGGTTGCTACTCCATTTATCCCAATTACTTCGATTGTCGACAGTTCTCGCCTACCGTCTACGCATTAGCTTCCTATTCTCTCCTCATCTGCCTTCCGATTTTCGTCGCTGCTCTGGAACAACGTCTGCTCTTACTTCCACCATCACGCCGGTCAAGCTATTCCCGACCAGAGTATCGAGATCGTTGCGGCACCGCGGAGGCGACATCGATATTACGCCCTACAGAAGTCGGAAGCAGTGATACGGTTACAATTCTCTATGTGGAAACCTTTACAATTGACAGTTCTTTGCTAGTGTGATAGTTTTGTAAAGCCTGGCGGCGCAGTGTCGCGTTCGCGACGCCGCGTACGCGACGGCTCGGGGCCCGCCCCCCAAGCTTCACTTCTTGTATTGTATGCGTAGATAACGGTGGCGCATAAAGCATAGAAAGAATCCACTGAACCGCACAAGATTACAGACGGTGCTGCACACCGGATCCCCAAGCGAAGAAACCAAGAAGGACCTCCCGCGAGAGGCACATCATCTTTCCGGCTGAACAACTGGTAACACAGCTCGAAGGGATGGTGCCTCAGAGGGTGAACCCAACAAGCATGTTCTGGACTTAATCTTCAAGAATGAAGAAAAGTCTGAAAGGGGTAAGTGCCAGCTTAATTTGATAATTATAGGACCTAAATGATAGAACTTGAAATAGTGCCGACATCCTCAAGTGTTCGCATCCAGACTCACAACCTTCAATAAGATTAGAAACTAGTGTTTCTAACGATTAAAAAACTTACTTATATTCATCTGGCATATAACACGACTTCACCACTGTACCAAATGACACGATCACGTTGGTACTTCTCAGATCCAGAATTTCGTTAAGGTTCTAAAGAATATTTTCCATAGGACCGCCATCAAACGGCTGACAAAAAATGAATTCAATCTTCTGTGACCTTGAACACAGTCCACGCTGAACGTACAATTTATATCGCCGCAATCAGTCGGGGCGTGTCAGGAGGCATTGAATAAGAGCACCCGCAGCGCTTCCTACCATTGGTTGATTGCTTACTGAATCGATCACCAACCACTCTATTGGTAGGGCGGGCTGGTTCCACGTCTCGTGACACTACCGCGACTGATTGCGACGCTGTCAACTGTACACATTAGTAGCGTCGATTGCACTGTAGCATTGTCCTCACTGGAGCGCCCTTTCCTTCACTCCTGAAGGATAAGGCCGTCAATGAGGGGAACATGGCGTGCGTCCGACCGCGCCCATCCTTTCAGCATGGACTGTGCTTATGAGCGTTTTGAACGGCTTGCCTCGC